GGGTGGGGGGGGGGCCCGCGGGGCGGGGCGGGGCGCGGCCGCCTTCGCAGGGTCCCCCGCCCCCCTCGCGCCCGCGCCCCGCGTTTCCCTTTCGTCGTCTGCTTTGGGGCGCTCGGGGCTCGGGGAGCCAGGCTGGGGTTCCGTTCAGGGCGACGCTGTCCCCAGCGAGGGACGCAGCGGCTCAGGGACACCTTGGCGTGTCCCTCGCAGGCTCCGGGCGGGCCGTCCCGGCTGGAACTCTGTCCTCTGCACCGGAGTGGCCGTGAGGCGGCGGCGACAGACGGACCCGTGTCTCTGGGTCCCTTTCCAGGCGCATGGTGGCAGTTTATGAATGTGCCTTGTCTCCTTGCGGCGACCATGGACACTCGGAAGCGAGCTCGGTCCGCTCAGTCTTCGTCTCCCTGCAGCACCCACACCTGGAGGCGCTGGGCAGATAGTTTTTGGATAAATGGAAGCGTTCCCGGTGCACAGGCTGTCACCCTGCGCTGCCTTCCCCTGCTGGCAGGAGTACACGACGTGTGCCTCGTGTCAAGGCCCGGGCACATGTTAACCGAGCCCGAGTCCCTCTGTCAGGCGTGTGCTTCTCGGACCGAGTCCTGGGAGAGGCTGAAGGTCAGAAGTTTATCCCTCCAGCCCAGTCACTCTTGTTGTCACCCTGCGCTGCCTTCCCCTGCTGGCAGGAGTACACGACGTGTGCCTCGTGTCAAGGCCGGGCACATGTTAACCGAGCCCGAGTCCCTCTGTCAGGGGTGTGCTTCTCGGACCGAGTCCTGGGAGAGGCTGAAGGTCAGAAGTTTATCCCTCCAGCCCAGTCACTCTTGTCCCTCCTGGGTCCTGGGTTGTCAGCAAACACTGTGGGGTGACCTCGGTCTGCAGGTGCTGCGGGACACAGCAGAGTGGGCTCTGGGCGGCAGCGCCAATCCAGTGACATGATGACACATGGTTAGGACCCAGCAAGAGTTCTGAAGGAATGTAGCCTGAAAGTGTGTTAGGAAGAAACCTGTCCCAGACCCGGGTGACGGAGGTGTCAGCCCGCGGGGACGGCCATGGAGGAAGGGCTTGTGCCTGGAGCCCCACAGCCAGCAGAGAGGCCTTGGGAGGTTTCGGTCTTTCTCCTGAAAGGGTTTCTGTGCTGGGATCACTACACACACCTTCACCGACTCCTGTGGCTGGGACTGCCCTGTTCTTGGTGACACAGGGTGTGACCGTTTATTCCTAGAAGGCTTAGAAAATCATCCAGGAAGTGCTGCCTTCGTCAGGACGGTGCTGTCAGAGCTGCAGACACTCCTGGAAATGGTGTCCATGTCGTCTGCATCTTTTTTTCCCCCTTTAACCTGGTGAAGATCCCTAGGGAGGGGCGGAAAGTCCAGAAAGAAAACCAGGTGGGGGTCATGAATGAGTAGGAAAGGACTGGAAGTGTTCAGGAGATGGAGTTTTTACTGTCACCTCTCTTAGATGACAGGACAGCGTTGATCCCATGGAGCATACCTTTGGCAAGTCTCCTTCACCTCACACAGGCGGCAGAACTTCTGAGCATTATGGACTAACTGATTAAACCCTGCTCATAAGGTTTTGGCCATTAGTATTATTTCATGGTACCTTCCAATGTGTTGTTATTTTTTAATAACTGAATTTAATCTTTTCTTCCAATAGAGGAAATTAGAGGAAACTAATTGAAAACCAACAGAAACTAGTAAGTAGAAAATCAGCTTTAGAAAGAGCAAGTTTAGCAATTGAAGCTGCCAACCTAAAGTGAAAGTCACCCAAAGCCAGGTCCTAGGCTGTCACCTTTGCTTACTGTTGCCCATGTTTGCACGGTATTGTTCTCCAGAGGTAAAGCAACCAGGTCCTTCCTTCTGGACCTTTGCCTCTCAGCCTTCGAAGGAATGTCGGCCTAGTCTTTCAACCCCTTTGTGCTCTGTGCTGATTTTCTCCCTCCTGTAAAAGGAGGCTCTGTGTAGCTGGGTGGGGACGTGATGGAAAATAAACACCAGAGCTTATTTGTAAATGCACTGCTGGTGAGCTGTGTCTACCTGCTTTTCCGCACATTAAAGCCGTATTTCATCTTCCATAGACTGAGTAGCATTCAGCATTTTGTTGCTCTAAAGCCACTAACCACATGAATACTGTAGTTTTATAGCATTGTAGTAAAAAAGTGAAATCTTAAACAGGTAAGTTTCACATTGAAACCTTGGGTCTGAATATCACTCCCCTGAAACAGAGTTCTCCAGATGTCGCTAGATTCACAACATCCTTAAAGCTGATTTGGGACTTTCTGAGGAACTCCACTGCAGCCATCCGAGACCTGGGAGATCGCAAATTGGCCATAAGTGATTCCTGATGTCAAGCAGTGATGTTCAGAAAGGAGCTAAAAAGTATACGTGGTGGGAAATGCCAGAAACTTTTCTTTTAAATTTAGGTGCTGAGGCAGTTTGAGAATGAGGAAAAATCTAAGACAAATTTGTCCACGTTGGAGTTTCTGCCGTCTACAATGGAAACAATTTATGAAACAGAAGAACACCATTCAAGGCCCTGTGCTAATTTTATTATAATACACTCAGTATTTTTATTTTGTGCTTCGTTTTGAAAACAACACAGTATTATGGTATTTACCATATACTTTTAAGAATTATCAGAATATTTTCTCTTAAAAATGATTCATCGTAGGCTATTGTAGGTTAAATTGTCCCCCCCAAAAAAAACATATGTTCAATTTCCAACCCCCAGGACCTGTGTACAGGATCTTATTTGGAAATAGGGTCTTTGCAGATGTACTTAGTTAAGATGAGGTCATTGGGTTAGGGCAGGCCCTAATTCAGTGACTGGTGGCCTTATGAGGGGACACTTGGTCACAGACACATACAGAGAGAATAGGATGTTAAGATGGAGAGGCAGCTACAAGCCAGGGAATGCCAGGGAGGACCAGGGATGGCCGGCAACACCAGACGCTGGAAGAGGCAGGAAGGACCCTCCGCGGGGCCTCCAGAGAGCTTGACGCCTTGATTACAGACTTCAGGCTTCTGGGACTGTGAGACAATAAACTTCTCTTGTTCCAAGCCACCCTCTTGGTGATACTTTGTGACAGCAGCCCTAGGAAACTCATACACAGGCGTTAGTCAGCACAGTGTGAGCTGTGGAGAAATTTAGGCTCGATAAGGCAAGAGGGAGTGTGGGTGGTGTCCTCAAAGTTGCCCATTTCCTACAAAGTATAAAATAACTGCTGTTGGGGAAATCACCACCACGACCATTACTCAATTTCGTAAAGGACAGGACAGGTAAACGTGTCAACAGAGGAAGCGTTAACATCACAGCAAAGGACAGTTCTTTAAGTTGAATACATTTATGATTGTAAATGTTTGTATTTTTCTCATTCACTGAAAACTGGCGAGCATTTCAAGGAGCAGAGTTTAGAAGCTGCACCAGCGCTTCTCCAGCTACAGAGCACACGAGCCCCCTGGTGTGTTAAAATGCAGATCCTGATTCCACAGGTGGTGGGGGCAGGGGGGGAGATTCTGCATGTGACCAGCTCCTCGGTTGTGCAGGGACCACCTTGAATAGCAAGACGCTGTGCTACGTAATGGCTCCATGCCAAAGAACTCTGAAAACAACGTTCCTTAGAAAAAGAAAAGTTCATGGTCATTTTTACAGTCATGTGAACTATAATGCATTTCAGTTCATGCCTGTGACTTTGCTCCTGATGTTCTGGAGACTCCCAATCTATTTCAGTTAGCTCCTTTGCTCAAGCTAAAGATTGTATTTTCAACTCCCTACCTAGTCCTCCACCTGGGTGGCCTAGGGGCATCCAAACACAGTTTGTCGCTGATGGAGTTTCGATGTTTTGTCCTCCCAGAATTCATGTGGAAGTCTGATCCCCACTGTGGCAGTGTTGGAAACCGATTGAGTCATGGGGGCGGATCCCTCATGAATGGGTTAATGCTCTCCCCGGGGTGGGGGGCCTGAGTGAGCTCTAGCTCTGTTAGTTCCCACGAGCCCTGATTGCTTTGGGTTTTTTGTTTGTTTGTTTTTAAAGATGACCGGTAAGGGGATCTTAACCCTTGGCTTGGTGTTGTCAGCACCACACTCAGCCAGTGAGCGAACTGGCCATCCCTATATAGGATCTGAACCCGTGGCCTTGGTGTTATCAGCACCGCACTCTACCGACTCTCGCCATGTGATCTGCCTGTACCCGCCGGCTCCCTGCCACTTTCTGCCATGAGTAGAAGCAGCCTGAGGCCCGTGCCAGATGCAGCTGCCCCAGAATCGTGAGCCACATAAGCCCCTGTCCTTTATAAATCACCCAGCCTCATGTATTCTGTTATAGCGACACAGAGGAGACTTAAACAGTCCCAAACCCGGCTAAGTACTCCCTCCTCCTCCCCAGTCTTCTGTCTCTCCCGGGTGCCCATTTGCCTGGGCAGAGTTAGACCTATTTTGTTTCTTCCTCATTCCTATCTCCTGCGTCCAGCTGACTTTTAAGTCTTTCAAGCGGACTTCAACCTAGTTGAAGTTATGTCTACCTTGGAAGAGGCAAAGGAAAGTCAAATTAGGACCAGTTTACTGGATTTTAAGGGAAGAAAACTGGGATCCATCGCAGAGTTCTTCGTGGCAGTGACGGGAGCACTTGCCCTGAGCAGCGCAGTGTTGCAGCGCCGGGGTCAGAGGGCACACGCGCTCCCTGGCCTGGGATGCAGGGAGTTCTGGTAGGGCCAAGCTGGAGGGAGGCTGGGTAGCATTTATTTTGGAGCCCAGACTACTAGTATCTTTTGCCACAGCTTCACAGGGCAGTCATGATGATTTAAGTAAATGGTATTTCCAAAGCTTTTTGAGCTTCTTGAAAAACCATTTCATGTAAGCATAAGTGTGAATTTTTACTCCTAGCTGTAATAATGGTAATATCTCTTTTATTAAGGACCATGCCACTGACTTTTTTAAAGAAGCTTTCACACTTTGGGCCTCTTTGTACAGAATTACCCATAACAGAATTCCTTTGCAAGATTCAATATTATAGAATCACCCTTACAGTGCAAGTGTATTAGTGAGCTTTGCTACAAATATTTATTTGGAGTGAAAAGGAAGCTGATGTTGTTTCTTTAATTTCTTCTCTTAAAGTGTCCTCTAGAGATTGTCAGAATGATGTGATGGATTTTTTTCCAAATTCTGATAACTCTAGTAGAATATTCGCTCCTCTGAAGGGAGCCTTTGAATGTCCTTTGATGCTCGTCCTTGAACATCACGGCTCTCTGTGCCAGTCTCATTTCAGTAATAAACCATGTTCCATATGTTGGAATACTTGACATTTGCTCCTCGGTAACTGTGAATACGGATTAAAAGCTAAAATGATGTGCAGGGTACTTTTAATTAAAGGATGAAAAAAATAAGGCACATGTAAAGGATAGCAAACCATAGCACAGATGTAAGTCAAATAAACAGTGTCTGTCTACACACTTCTTCCTTTGGAATCCTCCTCTAAGGGGGTTTTTAAGGTTTGTTTGATTTTCAAACAAAGTAAGTTTATGTGGAGAGAGATTTGACTAACACAGATAAATCCATGTCGTGGGTGTGCTACCTAGAGAAACAATGCTTTGTAGCAATGTCACAGCCAGATGCGACCC